GGAAGCATGACTTCTCATATATCTTTTTCCAATAAGTGAACTGCTCTATGTATATATACACACACACCCACAGTATATATTAGATTGATGCATGTAGCAATGTTATAATCGCTAGAACAGGGTCCTCATCACCATGAGACGGATATGCTTGCTTTGTAAGAGATAAGAAGCAAAGTAAATGAAACCACTATTGGTCACACATCAAAACGAATCACCAGTTGCCTTGGAAGCAGCACAAACATGCTCTCTGAAGTGAAGTGAACTGAAACATTTTGAATAATTAGTGCTAAAACGATGAGTCAGTGATCTATTTGAGAATAAATGGAGCCATTCTATGAAACAAAAATAATAATAATAATAATATGAATAATAATAACAATAATAATAATAGTATTCACATACACACACACACACTTTAAAATGTTTTTGAATGAAAAAGCATTATTTGTGGATAATTCACTCATAAACTGAGGTGCATAAGTCAAGGCTAATGATCAATCAGTTCCAAGAATAAACACAAAACCTGTGCAAATTAAAAGAAAACAAGTTGATAAAAAAATGTAATCCAATGTTTTTTAATAATATAGCATAATGAAAAATTTATAAGCTGTTTTTTTTTTTTGTAGAATACAGGGAATTGACTGGGAATGCCATGCACAAGTTTAACAAGGTGTGGGGGGGAAATCCACAAAAAGTGGATGATCAAAACTTTTTTTGGAAGTTGTTATACCCTGTGTGAGACATGTCAGTAAGTTTTAGTCCAATGCAATTCTATTATAGGCATTATATACAATAGCTACTCAACACTATACACAAAAGTAATCATTAATTTTGAATGATGTAAGTAAGCTAGACTTTTTTGTGTTTAGTGCATTTGAAATCCTTTTGAAGAAACAACTTAAACCAGTCTGATCCTGGTCTGGTTTGCTGGTTTTTGAGAGATTTTATGTGTCAGCTTATCAGCTTAAGAAACCTACATCTAGCAGGTACACCAGCTGAACACCAGCTTGTCCTGGCTTTGAGGCCAACTAAGACCAGCAAGCATTCTTATTCTGGTTAAGCAGTATTTTTCAGCAGGTAAATGGTACTCCTTTCATGAAATGACTATGGATTTTCCTTTCAGTTGTTTTGCTTACATTTTTGTTGGAGCCATGTTGCAGAATAATATATAATACTATAAGTAGATAATTCTGGGAAGAGTAAAGCCGTTACAATTAGAGTGATCCAGGCCTAGCTACACAAAGAGTCTTTTCAGTATTTTTTGTGACCCTCTTGTCCTGTACTGAATGAATGCAATGAATACTATGTAAGGATGGTTTTTCAGTAGTACTGCATGTACACTTTGAATCTCATAATACCCATTTAAGACTTTGCTCAAGTGCCCTTATCAAAGTAAAAGGTTCAAGTTCATTGTCAGTTTTTGAGCTGTTAATCTCAGCATTCTCTTCAGTACTGTACAAGCTATGAAAACAAGATGCTCATACCCACTGCTGTCCATTGTATCCTTTTTTTGTTTTGTTTTGCCTTGTGTTGGCTCTACGAGGAGTTTGGCACAATTACAAATGATTTGTATGGGCAAGTTCACAAGCTCCTGTCCCAATGGACCGGATGCTGTTATCAATGGAGAACAGAGGATTATTAGTGTCCGTGCCACTTACACAGTGTGCAGAGACCAAAGGGCATGACCGCTGCGAGGACAGGGGTCCTGATCTCTTGTCTGTCCTCGAGACCTTCAGCCATGATCCACGCTGGCATTTACATGAGCCAGTGTCACCTCTGTGAATACAAGAAATTCATGAATGAAACACTAGAGAGCTACAATATAATATATCACAATGTGCAATAATATATTGTAAAATGTAATTTATTTCTGTGTTGGCAAAGCTGACTTTTCCACAGCCATTACTCCAGTCTTCAGTGTCACATGATGCTGAAGAAATATTTCTTATTATTATCAGTGTTAAAAACTGTTGTGCTGCCTAATATTTTTGCGAAAAGTGATATTTTTTTCCAGGATTCTTTGATGAATAGAAAGTTCAAAACAACATTTATTTGAAAATATAATTTGTTTTGCATTGTTTGTAACAATGTAAAAATCTAACCAAATGCTTGCAAATCCCATGTTTAGTTCCTGCTCACAAGCGCTTGCTGAATCATCCCAGTACTTTGTAAACACGACTTGGTTTCCAGGCAGACTGATGAAAAAAACATGTTTCTGCCTACTCCCAGAGGTTGTGTAAAGTCAGCCAATCATATAAGAGCTTAAAGTCAGATCGAAAAAGTGCTTTACAGTTCTGTGTGCAATATATATCAGATAAGCAGACTATGGCATAGGCATATATATCCTATTTATCAGAATTGTCTATTTTTAACTACTGAAATTAGTACTGAAATTATTACTGAATAAATTATATATGTTTTATGTTATACAAAAACATATACAGTATATGCTGTTTGCATAAATTTTCAATCCCCATGCTGCATAATTTCTACATTTGCACAGATGGGAAACAATTGCCATAACGATGACAAAGTTGCCTCACAATTGGCCTCTACCTGTGAATCATTAAAATAACTTCCACACTCTCTGGAGAGGAACCCCACAGTTAAGGAACCATTATTCTAAAGGACTGCTGTGAAAATAAAGACTTGAGAATATTTAAAAAATACTACTGTGGAAGTTGAAATAAGTGCAACAATTTGAATAAAATTGTGCAATATAATATCCGAGAGTTTGAATGTCCCAGTGGACATTGCTGGTTCAATTATCAGGATGTGGAAGATACAGTACATCAAACCACCTAGACACTTCCTTGAAAAGGTCATATCTCAAAACTCTCTGTGCGAACATAAAGGAGACCGGTGAGAGAAACCAGAGAGAGCATATCGATCACTTTGAAGAGGCTGCAGAGTTCAGGAGATGAGAACGGAGGAAAGGTGCATTAGTCAACCAAATCGGCACAACACTGGTGTACACTGTGGCACAAATGGGGAACAAATACCCATTAAGCAAAAAAAAGTGTGGAGTTTATGGATGTATAAAGAATAGTTCACCCACAAAAAATTACCCTCAGGCCATCCAAGATGTAGATGAGTTTGTTTCTTCATCAGAACAGAAATTTAGCATTTCATCACTTGCTCACCAATGGATCCTCTTGAAGTGAATGGGTGCCGTCAGAATGAGAGTCCAAACAGCTGATAAAAACATTACAATAATCCACAAGTAATCCATATGACTCCAATCCATCAATTAATGTCTTATTAAGAGCTGCGTGTTTGTAAGAAACAAATCCATCATGGGTGAACTATTCCTTTAATTGACAGTAATGCTAGCACACTTTTTTTGTGTGGTAAGATTTCAGCCAAATTTCAAAACTATTTGGGAAATGCAAATTTAACACTGCCCACCACCAAACATTATCATATCATCTGTGAAGTAGCATCGTTTGACTCAACAGCCAAAAATAATAGACTAAAAACATACCTGAACTGTGTGGGAAGCTGGTACATACTTACTCCAAAAGAATTCAAGCTGGCACTGCTGCGAAAGATGCCTCTGCAGAATATTAAAATCTGTGGAATGTTAAAGTAATGCATGTAGAGTTTTTGAAATTATCACAGAAAACCCAATTTCAGTGTAGGATTTGCAGTTCTGCAAGAGAGAACTGGTTAAGGGTCTAAATATTTTTACAAGGCACAGTAGGCTATATGGGTTTGAAACTTAATATTTCATGGCCTTTTGGGGTACATGTAATATTCATATACATTAGTGTATTTTATTACAGACATCCAATGTAGGACTAATCACATATTAATCTGAGCTATCTTCACCGACAAGTATGCCCTGAACAGGATGGTCTCAACTCACATCTGTTGTTGTTCACTGGTTAGATACTGTCTGATTGAATTATTTATGATTAGTCATTATAAATTGATCTCACAAATGTAAAGTCATGCAATACCTAAGAAATCTTAATGCATGCTAAAATCCCACTAATTATTGCAAACAAAATGGTTAGTTATTTCTAAAAAGAAAAAAGGGCCATTAAAGTCAATATGTAATGTTTTTGCAACCATTTTTAAATCTGTTTTTAAAACTGGAAGAACGATTAAATTTAGAGCAGAATATACTTTTATTCAGCAAGGGTGCATTAAATTGATCAAAAGTGAAAGACATTCTAATGTTACAAAATATTTCTATTTCAAAACAATGCTGTTCTTTTTAACTTTCTATTCATCAAAGAATCCAGAAAAATATTTAGCAGCACAACTGTTTTCAACATTGAGAGAATTCTTGAGCATTGAATCTGAAGAATCACGTGATGTTAAAGACTGAAGTAATGGCTGCTGAAAATTCAGCTTTGCAGGAGTAAATTACATTTTAAAATTGTAAATTGCAATAATATTTCACCGTTTTACTGTATTTTTGATCAAATAAATAAGCATAAGAGTAATTGAGGCATCTTTACACAGCCAAATTCAGGCTACTCTGTGCCTGCTCAAAATTCTGTGTAAAGACCTAATGCCGCATAAAAGCCTGACTAAATTATGCCTGCTCTACTCACCTCAGTCCCTAGTATCAAAGTACTGTATAAAGGTGCAATTTCTGTGTAAATGCATTTATGCCACACTTCAATAGCATTAAACAGTCTGTGTACAGCACCTAAATGCCAGTTCAGAAGCGCTTCTGTGCCACCTTTGCAGTGTAAATTTGGCATAAGAGATTTCTTAGATCATAAGAGATTTCTTTCAAAAGCATTAAAAATTCTTACCGACCCCAAACTTTTGAACGGAAGTGTATAATATAAAGTAGCCAGAAGGTTGGAGGGGTGAGTTGAAAAGGGAGACATAGAGCAGGTACTTTCATTCAGTGTTTTTATTTGAAATAACATGCATTTGTATATATGAAAATAGGGTCAGTTTGAATTTCATGTTGACTTTAACTGTGATATCTTACCTGTAACAGTCTCTCACCGTATCGTATTTCTCTGTCTCCCTAGCCTTCGCCCTGTGAATGGTGCCGCTGCGAGCCAAATAACGAGGTGCATTGTGTGGTCGCTGACTGTGCAGTACCGGAGTGCGTCAACCCAGTGTACGAGCCAGAACAGTGCTGCCCCATCTGTAAAAACGGTAAGAACGGCCTATTTCCTATTATAGGTTTATGGAGAAGATGAAAATACCTGCAAGGTGTACTTTAGAGAATTCCTTAGAGGACTCTCTCCACAATCCCAAAGGAAAGTGAATTGTTCCGCTGACTGGCATGTATCAGGGTTCAAGAAATAGTAGTGAGGTGGATGTGACAGTGTGATATAAACAGACAGCTCTATGCACAGGTATTTTAAAACCCACTCGAACTTTCTATTAGATTTCAGTATCACCAGCTAGCGAGTTCTGATTACCAATCCTCTGCTCAATTACAGGGGAAATTTGGTTCAGATAAACAGTGAACCCATTGATTAAGACCATGCTAAGAAGGATTAATTGGCCAGTGAGGACTCCTCTATCTCCTGTGTCTTGATGCACTAGTCAGCACTGGTCCGATTCCAAAATTACAATTATTGGATTCCAATGGCTCACTGGATGGCCAAGGCCAAGAGATATCCCTGAGTCAGTCCGATACAGAGGCACAAACACACAAAGTGTAAGCTCAGTGAATCAGTGGGATAAATAAAATGTTGATCGGCACAATACCTATTGGCCAAACAACCTGTAGAGGACACATATTTAACCATTGTGTTGTGCTGAAAAAATCCTTTACTTAATTTGGTGTACCAGGTCAAAAATGACCAGCCTTTTAAAACTTATTTCTAAATATCTCATTATGCTATTTCATCGCCAGATCTTGGATTTAATCTTTCTGTCAACTTTTCTTTCAGTTAGAACAGGTTTTGTATTGGAACTGAATGTAGGCCTCACTGATCTGAGCTTATGTACCTCAGTTTTTGAGGGAAAAAAAAAACATTATTTTTGGATAATTTTGGCAGTATTCACTCAAAAACTGAACATAATGACAACTTCATAAGAAATTTTTTGTAGGTCGTGGGAACATCACAAATCTAATAAGTTGCAGGATACCAAAAAAATACCATAACATGAGGGCTAAATCAACAAACTAAAATAATAATAATAATAATACCTGGAAGTACCGAAATACCAAAATTTGTAAACGTGAAAATGTCAACATTATTTTTCTACACTGATATAATAGAAAATATTGTCTTTAATTAAGTGTTGGTTTTGAAATAACATCTGATTTTACATAAGAAAACTTTAGAGGCATAAAAATATATGAGAGTATCAGACAGCTATTGTTGATATATCTAATCTTCGAAGTGCAACTTTAAAATCTATGAAATTCCCTCCTTTTTCCCTTCTGGCACACATTGACCTATATTCTCCAGGATCCACATTACAATCATAAGTGTGGTGTAAGGTATAGTTGCAAAATAGAGACCGGCTGTGACTTTCTGCTTTACTAGCGCAGAAAGACAGCCAGAGATACGTACACACGGATACACATACCTCGCCTACAGCCTGGAAGAGAACTAATCCAGGCAGACAGGGCACGGTGATGAGCTTGTGGTGCTGGCATTTTATGGAGGCCGTGGTGGAGCCCGTCCCCTGGAGGAAATAACTAAGTCTGCTTCCAAGATCTTTAAAGGGGTCATATCAGGAGGATTCTAATTTTACTTGATACTTTTGAGATAAAAGTGTTCAATGTATTAAATATATATACATTTGTATATAACTTCTGCCCCAGTACTGTATTTACGTAATGCGTAATGCGTATTGGCCACATACTACAGGAAGCTGAGATGGAATAACAGGAAAAGGAATTTAGTCAATTGTAAATCAAAGAAATATAAAAGTAATGCATTCTGGAAAAGAAGTATTTTTGCACTCTGGTCCAAAAAAAAAATTATTAAAAGATTAATTAAAAAAATCATTTATTCAGCAGGGATGCATTAAATATTAGAATGATTTCTGAAGGATCAAGTGACACTTAAGACTTGAATAATGGCTGTTGCAAACTCAGCTTTGCACATGAATAAATTACATTTTTTAAAACGATAAACAAGGAAAACAGGTATATTAAATAAAGTGACGTGACATGTGGCCAAGTATGGTGCCCCTTACTTGGAATTAGTGCTCTGCATTTAACCCATCCAAAGTGCACACACAGCAGTGAACACACACCGTGAACACACACCCGGAGCAGTGGGCAGCCATTTATGCTGCGGCGCCCGCGGAGCAGTTGGGGTTCGGTGCCTTGCTCAAGGGCACCTCAGTCGTGGTATTGAAGGTGGGAGAGAGCGCTGTACATTCACTCCCCCCACCCACAATCCCTGCCGGTACGAGACTCAAACCCACAACCTTTGGGTTACGAGTCCAACTCTCTAACCATTAGGCCACGACTAACCATTAGGCCACGACTTCCCCTTAAACTGTAAAAAAAAAAAAAAGTCACAATATTACTATTTTTACTGTTTTCTGTATCTAATAAATGCAGCCTTAGTGAGCATAAGAGACTTTCAAAAACATTTTTTAAAAATTTACCAACCCCAAACTTTTGAATGGTAATGTATATCAAATACAAACATTGGCAAATTTTCTAGTTAGAAATTACAGTTCTTTTAAATGAATTTCTTTTTAAATGTACCTGTTTGCTACCTCAATATAATAAAATTCAATGCAATTAAAAAGCATTTTCAATTAAATTCTGGATGGCACAACAACTGCTATTTAATTTTAATTTAATTTCTGACTGCTTTTGGCACAAACAACTTTACTAATTGTTTTAAGTGGGCCTCAAGGAGAAAAATTATAGCAATTATAGAATAGCGATAACAAAATCGATATGAGCACTTTAAAGTAAAACTTTTCAGAGTATTTGCACCATAATGTTTATGACTGTCCTCAAAATTCATAAGAGAATTTTCTATTCCTGTTAATTTTATCAAGGCTTTGGTTCGAAATGACATCATAAAGAGAATATATTATCTAAGAACTCGCTTGGCTATATTTGGTTGCAATTGTAGGAGGAAGAAAATAATTAGTTTGAGAGACTTTATTTCAGTTCAATCAATTCTAATAACGTTGGTCAAGAGCTGTTCTAAACAGTCTGTCATGTAATCTCTCTCAGATTGTTCCACATGGACAAACTGAGACGGTAAATGTCAAGAGACACTTATCCCAGCACTGACGGAGCTGGCAGAGGATCAACTATGACACTGGGAATGCCAAGTCTCAGTCAATCAAAATGCAGACATGACTGCATCGTTTTTTATAGCACAATTCTCGACTTCCATAAACATATAGCTCACATCTGACTCTGTCACATGTCATGTCAAAACAACTGGGAACAAACAAGACTGGGAAGTATCACTTTGTTTCGGATCCTCTCTTAATGAACCTCGCAGGAATGCAGTACTTTTTTGCTGAAGTGAATTTGAACCTCAAAAAACTCAAAAATAGCCTTAAGAAAAAGTGTGCTGCCTTGCTCCAGATTGTTAATTACCAAATTATGCCTCTAAACCTTGGCACTTGATGCAGCCTTTAAAAACCCATTTTAACAAAAACTTTGTCCATCAATACCAAGCTCAGTTGCACTGCTGGAAAGACAACTGGCCATGTTTCTATGTGGGTGAGCCAACCGTGGGCAACCATCTCTCAGTAGCTTCAGTGGTTACTATAGTAATTGCGTACTTGTAGGTTGCAAGCTAATCTGAGGGCAATAACGTGGGCCTCCACTGCAACAGAGTAACTTCACATATGATGATGACTATGATCTGAAAATTTAAAGGTGCACAATTAATCAAAATAAAATCTTAATTGCATAAACTACAATATATTTACTACTGTAAATATAGAGTTTGTATGCATTGCATGCCTGGATGAAGGAGCTACAGTACATTGTTATGTCTGTATTCACATACTAAACCATGCGCATTGTTTGCAATTAATAAATCTCCATGCAGAATCCATGCCAGGAAGTGCTCTGAGATTTGTTCACTTTAAGCCCATTGTTTGGTTCTCTTCTTCTACAACCTTATCGCTTACAAGATGTGAAATGATGTTGTAATCAAGGACTTGATCTTCTTAATAAACCAGTAGTCTTAAAACGGATGTCTGGGTCATTAAGGAATGGCATTGAGCAAGATCTTATCCGTTATCTGTTAGGTACCTGTCCACCTGGCCAAGGTGTCCTTGCACTAGTGACGCTCTTTTCTATAGGATGATGAATAACTGCTCTTGGCTAGGCTAGTAGTCATGCATCTCTGTTTCACCCCCCTTGAATGGTTGCTTTTGCACTTTTGCCAACAGCTCATAATTTTTACTGATGGAAATCAAATATTTGAGTGCATGTAAGACTCCTTGAGGTCTCTTAGGAGCATGCAGAATATTGTAGGTAGTAAAGCAATTTGTGCACCGCTAACCTTGCCGCCCTATTGCAAGTCTATTAACATGTCTGTGATGTGGTTAAAAGGCAATCTACACTCCAATAAGCATTCAAGTTTATACAGCTTGGACTTGGAAATTATGGATAAAATGATGATATGGTCAAAATCATCACTTGCCTAATAATTGTGCACACAGTGTAGTTGTTTCCCCCCACAGTAAAAGGGAGGTCATGAAGCTTGAACTCTTTTTGAAATGTGCGGCACCACTGACTTTTACTGACATAGAGTGAGGACTATATTTCAGGGAATACTGCCACATCAAACCAGAAGTACTTTTCAAGGACTTGCTTGTCATCAAGAATGGCCTTACATATATGCTGAAACTTTACTTCTGTAAATGCTGATTTTTAACAGGCCGAGTATGGTGAATACACTTCTTCAGAGCTGATGGTTAACTTATTCAGATCCCATTATCAAATAATCATAAATATTGCTACCACGTTAAAAAAATGCAGTCTGGCCCATATATGTAGATGAAATTGCTGTTTACAAAGAAATGCTTAACAGTGGCACTTTAAAATCCTCCAGGCTCCACAGAAAAGATGTTTTGGAGTAGCGCTTCATTTAGATTGAGCTGAAAATGTTTACAAAGTGTGAGGGGCTTAAATAATCAGTTTCCAAAAGATTCAATATGAAATATGGGCTCTTGTAGATCATTATTGATGACCA